CGTGAGGGTGACAAGAGTGCTACCTCGAGTACGCGTCATACTTTCATGTCCCGCCCGCCCGACCCGCCGCCCGCCCGCCCGCTAGGGTCAGGTTCGGCAATTATACTACAGGAGGTCCACCGAGAAAACCTGCCAAAATCGTCGGATAACCTTCAACAGGAAACTCAAGCCCACAACAAACTTCAAAACATCTGTAGACCAAAACCTGGGCAAATCTCCAACCCGAGAAAACTTCAAACATCCTCTAAGCCAAAGTCTGGAAACCGCCCGTTAGTGTCCCGCCCGCCACCCGACCCGCCCGCCCGTTACAGTCAATGTGACACGCGTGCCACCTTGATGATGCGTCATATTTTGATGTCCCGCCCGCCGAGCCCGTCCGCCCGTTCGGGTCCCGCTCTCCGTCCGACCCCGCCCGCCCGTGAGGGCCCGCCCGCCCGGCCCGCCGCTCGCCCGTGAGAATGGCACGTGTACTGCCTCGATTCTGCGTCGTATTCGACTGTCCCGCCCGCCGAGCCCGCCGCCGAGCACGCCCGTCAGGGTCCCGCCCGCCGCCCGAGCCGTCCCGCCCGTTAAGACATGCGCGTGCTGAGATGAGCACTTTTTGGTCGGCGGGGCGAGAGCGAACCTCTTCCGCTAAAAGCTGGGCGGGCTACGCACAGCTTTAATTAGGGAGACAGGGCACAGGAGGGCGGGGCCTCAGGCGGCCGGAGCGGGCGGGGCCCGGGGTGCAGGCGGTGCCGAAGAGCATGCTGAGATGAACACGCATTGCACGTTGATGTCCCCGCCCGCCCGATCGACCTCCCGCCCGTCCGCCCGTCGGGGTCCCGCCCGCCCCCGACCTGCCCGCCCGACCCGTGCCGTCCGTCGCGCGTGTGTCAGATGAACACGCTTCGCACAATAATGTCCCGCCCGCGCGACCAACCCGCCGCCCGCCCGCCCGTTAGGGTCCCGCCCGCCGCCCGACCCGTCGGCCCATTAGGGTCCGCCCGCCCGACCCGCCGCGCTGGCCTGTTAGGGTCCGCCCGCCAGACCAATCCCGCCTGTCAGGGTACGCAGTACGCAGTACGACGACGAGGAAGCAGAGGAGGACGAGGACAAGGAGGAGAAGGGTGAGGAGGAGCCTCTCTCTCTCTCTGTTTCTTTCCCTTCATTTTTTTGTTGTTGTCTCTCCCTCCTCCTCCTCCTTCTCCTCCTTCTCCTCCTGATGCTGCTACTACTACTACTACTACTACTACCACTACTACTACTACCACTACTACTACTACTACAACTACTACTACTACTACAACTACTACTACTACTACTGCTACTACTACTACTACTACTACTATCACTACTGAAACTAGGAGTATGCTACTACTGAAACTAGGACTACCACTATCACTACTGAAACTAGTCCTTCTCCTCCTTCTACTCCTGATGCTGCTACTACTACTACTACTACTACTGGTACTACTACTACTACTACTACTACTACTACTACTACTACTACTATTACTACTAGGACTACTACGACTACTACTACTACTACTACTACTACGACTACCACTACTACTACTACTACTACTACTATTACTACTACTACTACTACTACTACCACTACTACTACTAGTACTACTACTACTACTACTACTACTACTACTACTACTACTACTACTACCACTATCACTACTGAAACTATGAAAACAACAGCTACGAAAGACGAACCTTACTTTTACTACTACTACTACTACTACGACTACGGATAATGTTATTATTTCTGTTATTATTATTACTACTACGACGACTATTTCGACTAGTATTGCTACTGCTACTACTACTACTACTACTACAACTACTACTACTACTACTACTATTACTACTACTACTACTGCTATCACTACTACCACTACTACTTTACTATTACTACTACTACTACTACTGCTGCTACTACTACTCGGGGGTGGACAGAAGCCCCAACAATGACACGTCGATTAGTGAATTGTCCGTTTTCGGTTCTCGAGAGGGCGCCGTGGCCGTTATTTTCCAGGCTTGCGCCCGCCAGGTTTAGGCCTTAGGTCGTTTTCACTATACCACGTTTTACTAAAGGGGGGTCTGCCCATTCCCGAACAACAACTACTACTACTACTCCTACTACTACTACTACTACTACCACTACTATCAAAACGATTGCTACTACAGCCACCTACTATTACAACTACTAGTTGTTCCACGATCACTACTACAATTACAATTACACTTACTATTACTATTACTGTTACTCTTACTATTCTTATTACTGTCGCAATTTCTATTACTATTACTAGTACTATTACTATTACTAGTACGATTACGATTACGATTACTATTACTAGTACTACTACGACTGACAATACGACTACTACTACTACTACTACTACTACTACTACTACTACTACTACTCTTACTACTACTACTACTACTACTACGAGTACGACGGCTACAACAACTACTACTACGTCTTTTCTTACTACGAGTACGAGTACGGTTACTACTACTATTACTTCCTCTGTTACTACTATTGCTACTGCTGCTACTACTACTACTACGAGTTTTTATGATTCACGACTTTACGCTGTACTACTACTACAACTACAAAAACACTTACGAATACTTCTACAACAGCAACACGGGTCACTACTACTAGTACTACTTCAACTACTACTACTACTACTCGTACTACCATTATTACTACTATTACTACTACTACTACTATTACTACTACTACTACTACTACTCGTACTACTACTACTACTACTGCTACTACTACTACTACTTCTTCTACTACTACTACTACTACTACTACTCTCACTGCTACTACTACTACTACTACTCCTACTACTACTACTTTTACTGCTAGTACGACTACTACTACTACTACTACCATTTCTACTACTAGTAGTAGTAGTACTACTACTACTACTACTACTACTACTACTACTACTTCTTCTACTACTACTACTACTACTACTACAACTACTACTTCCACTACTACTACTACTACTACTACTACTACTACTACTACTACTACTACTACTGCTAACTACTGTTACTGTTTACTGTTACTGTTACTACTACTACTACTACTACTACTACTACTACTACTAGTACTACTAGTACTAGTACTAGTACTACTACTACTACTACTACCACCACTACCACTACCACTACTACCACCACCACTACCACTACCACTACCACTACTACTACTACTACTACTACTACTACTACTACTACTACTACTACTACTACTACTACTACTACTACTACTACTACTACTACTACTACTACTACTACTACTACTACTACTACTACTACTACTACTACTACTACTACTACTACTACTACTACTACTACTACTACTACTACTACTACTACTACTACTACTACTAACTACACGGGCATTATTATGCGGAGGGTTCGTTCCGCCGAGTCCCTGTTCCGCCGAGGGGCTTTTCCGCCGAGGGCCTTTTCCGCCGAGGGCCTGTGCCGCCCGGTTCTCTTCCGCCGCGCCCGCTTCCGCGCGGTCTTCTTCCGCCCGGTGCGCTTCCGCCGCTGTCCTGTTCCGCCCGGTCCTGTTCCGCTCGATCCTGTTCCGCACGCTCAGGCCGTGGCCGCGGCGCACCTCGCGCGGTGGAACCGGGCTTCGGCGGAACAGGCCCTCGGCGGAACCAGTCCTGGCGGAACCGTTCCTTGGTGGAACCGGCCCTCGTCGGAACAGGTCTTCGGCGGAACCGGCCCTCGTCGGAACAGGTCTTCGGCGGAACTGGTCTCGGCGGAACCGGTCCTCGGCGGAACTGGTCGCGGCGGAACCGTTCCTCGGCGGAACCGGTATTGTATCTGTGGACACCGCTACTGGGCCCTTAGGTGGAGCTCCGTGTGGGGCCGCGACACGCTGCGCTGGGTGGGGGAGACGCATGTGGACGCCACCACTGGGGCGTGGAGCTCCCTATGGGGCCACGACACGCTGCGCTGGCCCGGGAGCCGCATGTGGGCACCGCCACTGGGGCCTTAGGTGGAGCTCCCTATGGGGCCACGAAGCGCTGTTTTGGGCCAGGGAGACGCATGTGGACACAGCCACTGGTGCCTTAGGTGGAGCTCCTTATGGGGCCACGAAGCGCTGTTCTGGGCCAGGGAGACGCAAATGGACACCGCCACTGGGGCCGTAGGTGGAGCTCCCTATCGGGCCACGAAGCCCGGCGCTGGGTGGGGGAGACGCATTGGGTGGGGCAGCCGCATGTAGACACCGCCACTGGGGCCTTTCATAGGTGAAGCTCCCTATCGGGCCACCAGGAGCCGCATGTGGACACCGCCACTGGGGCCTTGGGTGGAGCTCCCTGTGGGGCCACGACGCATTGTGCTGGGTGGGGGAGACAGAGGCACGGAGCGGGAGGGGGGAGGAGGGAGAGGAGGAAGGAGAGGAGGCGCGGTGCGCTGTCTCTTCGCAACGGGGACCCGGGTAGCGGGAAGCCAGGGAGCGCAGTCCTTTGGTCTGCAGATTCCGGAGGCCACGCTCAGACGATGAAGGACACCTGCCTGCGAGCATGAAGTGCACGCCCCCGCTCGCTTTGACCCTCCGAAAGCCTTGTTCGAGGGCCTCCGGCGGCTCCCGAGAGCCTCCGAAGACCGCCGAAGGCCTCCACGGGTCGCCAGAGGCTTCCGAGGGCCGTCAGCTCCCCATCGCTGGGACGAGTGCGTTTCTCTCGGCGGCGACCGTCGAGAGGCGTATTGGCTCATCCAGCGAGAAGAAGCGCACGAAACCGACAAGTGCCACAAGGGCGCCCTCGAGGGCGCGAAGTCATCCGCGCGTCGCTCATCCAGCGAGAAGAAGCGCACGACTCCGACAAGTGCAACCAGGGCGCCCTCGAGGGCGCGAAGTCGTTCGCGCTTCGGCGCAGCGCGAGAGCGCGAAGCTGGGCGCCCGTGGCCCGCGCGGCGGCAGGCCCGCTGCCTGCCCCCCTTCGCGCGGCGCGCACGCCCAGGCGGCCGAGGAGGGCCGCGGGGACCGGGAGGCGCCCGCGCCGGAGACGAGGCCCCCGCGCTTCCCTGGCTCCTGGTCGCCGCCGTCGCCGCCGTCGCCGTCGTCCTCGGTCGCCGCCGCAGCCGCCGCCAGCCTCCTCCTCCGCCATCCACCTCCACTTCCTCCGCCCTCCTCGAGGAGGCCAGGAGCGCTGCGAGCTCCAAGCTTGAAATCCGATCGACGTCAAAAAGGAGGAGGAGGAGGAGGACGACGACGACGACCACGACCACGACGACGACGACGACGACGACGACGACGACGACGACGACGACGACGACGACGACGACGACGACGACGACGACGACGACGACGACGACGACGACTACGACGACCACGACCACGACCACGACGACCGGGGTCCCTCCCACTCCCAGGGTCGTCCAAGAGCCCCTCGCTCCTGCCCTCCGCCCTCCGCCCTCCCCAAACCCCCTCGAGTCATGAAAAAATCGCGACGGAAGGTTTCTCACTATTGGCGGTCTCTGAGGGCCCTGACAGGGCCTCGGGACCGTAAAATTAGACGACTCAGGATGAGAAACTGGTCCCGGGGAATGGGGCGAGACCACGGGGGGTCGACTTGAAGAACAAATCATGGCCTCGGGGGTCTTGGTCCATGCTCCTGCTCCTCAGTGTTCCGCCCCTCCGTGCTTACCGCTTTCCCCGGCCTGGTTCTGCTTATTCTCTTGTGATCCTGGCTCCCACGGGCCTAACAACTAGGCACATCACAACCCTGGAGTCCTTCCTGGCCCGGTGTGTTTGCCATCGCTGCGACCCAGAGCTGGCGGCTCGAAGTCGATGGACGTTGCGACGGTGTGGCGTGCGACGCGGTGGTTCCTGTGGAAATCGCAGGCGAGTTGAAAGCACATATCGCCAGTTGTTTTTTGCAGCAGTGCGGTACTGAGCTGGGGTGTCAGGTCTCCCTCCCCATACTACCCCCCTGATCACATTGACCGCGTGGTCTCGAAATGTGTGTACCTGTGTGTGTGTGTGTCTTTTGGATCGGTCGAGCGGCTCGTGCCCCGTCTGCGTGCGCCCGAGAAGTGTGTGTGTGTGTGTGTTTTGTGTGTGTGTGTGTGTGTGTGTGTGTGTGTGTGTGTGTGTGTGTGTGTGTGTGTGTGTGCGTGCGTGTGTGTGTGTGTGTGTGTGTGTGTGTGTGTGTGTGTTCGGTTTCTCGAATGAGACCCGATTTGAAACACATGCACCACGCCAGAGCAGCCAGGACTCGAAAGACTGTCCAACACCTAGTCATTACGACAGTTGTTCATCTTGGGCACTGACGACGAGGCGTCTTCAAGCGGGGCCCCCTGTTCCCCCGAAGCCTCCTGGCAAGGCTGCTTTCGGCCTGGCCATTGCCATGCAATTCTGAATGTCCCCCCGTATGCGTCCACAACGACAAAATCACTCACATATCATTTCTCACCACAGTGCCCAGACATGTCATTCTTGGCCAAGATGGAAAAGCCTTCGTAACTGGGATGTATGCAGTATTGCGCATTGCAGATTGTCTCCTATTGAGTGCTTCTGTGGCCCAGACCAGAACACACAGACACACAGACACACAGACCTCTTCACTTTCTTGCCGTTGCTTGCGTCCTCCGTTTCATCTTGTCCTCTTGTCTGTTGCCCTCTCTCTCTCTCTCCTCTTCTTCCCCGCTCGTCCTCGAAACGAGTCTGACACTGGGACGCGTGCCCATGCTCGTATGTTACCGCCCTTTGCCTGGCGGCCTGTTGGTCCAAACATATTTAATCGCTTCGCTCATTCCGCCGGCCCATATTGGTGCACGGCTGTCGATTGCCTCAGTGATCGGAGTAACTGCGGCTGATGGGTTTGGTTGTTGGTCATGGATGGTCGGCTTGTGGCGACCTTGCCAGGAGGAGCCATTTTTTGCATGCCTGAGCCGTCTTATCTGGAAGGTGGCGGTTCGTGAAATTTTATCGCAGGAAACAAGAAAACAGTTCGCAGTCTCCTTGTCCTCTCAACTTCCTCCTTCCGCTGCTATGTGTAATCGTGCGTGTGTGTTGGGGAGGGGGGGGGGGCGAGGGGGTTGGGGTAGGGGGGTAGAGGCGCGAGCGTGGAAAGTGTGGGTGGCAGAGGAGGAGGAGGGGGGGGAGGTGGGGGCTCTTGGCGGTATTAATTGGTCTTCTTGGAGCCTCACGGGAGCTTATTGGGGCGTCTTGGGGGTGTCTTGGAGGGTCTTTCGGGGCGGGGGACTTCAAATTCACGTTGGGGCTCCTCGTGGGAGGCTCTCTTGGAGTAGTCGTGGGAGTCTCTTGGGCCGTCTCGGTTTGGGGTATCTCCGGTGCTTCTTAGAGGCAGCTTTGAAGTCTCTTCAGGGTCTCTTGGGAGGCCCTCGGCGGTCTCTTCGCGGTATGTGTGGGTTCTCCTGGGGCTTCACGGCGCTTCACCGCAATCATCGTTGTTGGGGTGTCTCGGGAGCCTCTTAGAGGCAGTTGTGAAGCCTCGTGACGGTCTCTTGGGGGGCTTTCGGCAGGCTCTTGGCGGTATTTGTTGGTCCTTTTGGGGCCTGGGGCCTGACGTTGTTGGTCCTCTTGGGGCCTCACGGGAGCTTATTGGGGCGTCTTGGGGGTGTCTTGGAGAGTCTCTTGGGGTCTCTTTCGGGGTCCTGGGCGCCTTCTGGGGCGGAGGGCTCGACTTCTCAGTTCTCGGTTCCCTTCTTGAGCCCTTCTTGGGCCCGTCTTGGGGCCTCTTGGTCCGCCTTGGGCGGCACTTGGGCCGTCTGGGGGGCGCTTTAGGGCCGCTCCGGGGCCGTCTTGGGAGCCTCGTGGGCCGTCTTGGAGCAGTCTTGAAGGCCTCTTGGGCCCTCTTGGAGCGTCCGGAAGCCAAAAGGCCAGAACGCAAAAAACATAGAAAAAAAAGTGAAAATCAACGATTTTGGCGACTTGGGGCCCTCTTCGGAGGCCTCTTGGAAGGCCCTTGGAGCGTCTTGGAGGCCTCTTGGGCTGTCTTGGGGCCATCTGGGACGTCTTCGGGCGATCTTTGGCCGTCTCGGGCGTCTCTTGGACCGTCTAGAAAGCTTCTCGGGGCCCTCTTGGACCGATCTGGAGCCCTCTTGGGCTCCGAAACAGAACTCCGGCATCTCTGGCCCGACCTTGCCGGGACCTTGCCGGGGACTTGCCGGGGACTTGCCGGGACCTTGCCGGGGTACTTTTCGTCCGGGGACCCCCAGGGGCCGCCCCACGCGCGCGAACTAGAAACATTGTTAACCAGGTACCGGAGATCTTAGCACGCCCTGGCCCGTTGGGCCGGCGAATTTTTTGTTGGTATGACAGTGAGCCTAACTCGCAGGCCTTGGGTTTATGCCAGCGCCCAAACCGCCGGACGGGCGGCGCTGAACCCTCGCTTGATTGACTGCGTGTTTGCTGGAAGAAGACTTATCGACCGCCAGATTACATGTGTGTTTTTTGGTATGCTTGACGTTGAAGTGAGATTGACTGGTTCGAACACTGCTTGACTTGATTTGGCGCGACGTACGTTTGACACTTTGTTCGAGTGTTGTTTGGCATTCGTTGGATTGCGCTCTTGACGCATCAGCGAGCTAGGCTCTTGACGTATCGGCGAGCTACGTTCACAAACAGATCGACGTTACGTTTGCGGCCTCTGAAGACATGAGGTCGGACTCTGGGGAAGAGCTCTTAGGACCCTAAAAACCGAGTGGCGGTTCAGCTCAGCGAGGGGACCCTAAAAACGCGTGGCCTCATATAGACCTCAAATGTGTTGGTGACGGAGTGGAGGTTCGGACACGTCCTCGGAAGTACCGCAGTCACCATGGGTACTTTTTCGCATCCGGCTTTCCTTCATATTTCCAGAAAGTTGCGGCTTGGGTTGAACACGTTTGTAACAACAGAAAGGCCATAGGCCACCCCATAAGTGGGGGCCACGACGTTCGACGCTACATGGCAAACAGGCGCTTTTCCTGATTGACCTGTTCTGGTCCGAACGACGGCAGGTCGGACAGTGGAGGCGACCTCTTGACCTCCAGACATTCGTCGGCCCTGAGTCAGGCTGGCGTAAGGAGTTGACCTACCTGTACCGTGCCATTTTGTGGCAACCCATCGTAACCCGATTCTCCGAGACGTACTTCGCCATTTTTGAGCGCCTAGAACAGAAGACGATCTCAGCAGTGCCGGAGTCGGAGAAACAACTTCCTTGTAGTTATTAGTGTGTCGAAGGCTTTCTAGGCCTCACAACAGCTATGACGCCAGACCCTTCGTGCGCGTGCGAAATCTTTGCCGCGCCGACGTCGGCAACAGACTACCCGCCTGCTTGTTCGGGCCCTCCTCACTCATGTACGAAAGCGCTTCACTGACCAGGGGGTGCTCAATTGAAATGCGCATACGTGCTGGCGCGCTATCTTGATCCAAAGCGGGCATTCATAATTGGGGAAAACATCATGCGCCTCAGTCAGGCATGCATAAGCGGACATGCATAATGTCGGGCACGGCGTCGTCACTGATATCCATTGGCAGACCGGGCTAGGTGCCGACGCTTGTTGGCAGGATGCAGACAACGCCTCGTTGTCCCCTTCCTGGTTTTGGCATTTACGGCGGAAGCTGTTGCGCACGATGGTGCAATGATTCAGTTTTGTCGTCTAGCGGCGAACGTGAACACCAAGGATGTTGCGCCGCGAGGCAAACGTTGATTCCGCGCGCATCGCCGACACCGACGGAACCGGAACCGGCGATCACGCCGATATCGACAAAAAGATCCATCCCATTTCGAGTGCAGCGCTTCTTTCGTCGAAAGGCGTTTGAAGGGCCTGGCCATGAAGAAGTTGGGGCGGGAGATGCACCTCCAGAAGCGCCGCCACTCGCACCCGCTCGAGACGAAGCCGTTCCATGACATGTGCGTGCGCTATCTTGCATCGCGGAATCTTTCAAGCATTGGGCCTCTCAACATATTAAACGACCCGAGAAATTTGCCCCTGCTTCTCAAGTGGGGCGCGAACTGGACGCAGGGTTTGGAGTGGGGCCGACTCTGGTCCAGACAATGCCCTCGCTCTGCTTTCTGATGCGAGATTTGGCATACATGCCGTGTGTTTCCAAAGTATCGCGAAAATCAGCACGCGCAGATTGATGGGACATGTGCCCTTCTACACCATAGATTGCCAAGGCTTGGGCCCCGCCGCGTCCGTCCGCAGCAACGACATGAACTACCCGTTGTGATGGGGTTGGTTCAGGCGCATCTTGCAGGCTCAGCGGAGTGCTCGCAGTGGAAGACAACATTCCCAACGCGTTGTGGGGCGATGGTTGTTGCACCTTTGCGATGCCCGTATACTTGCGCGCTCGCAGAAACGGTGGGAAGTTCGCCAAATACTTGTAGGGCTTGTTTTGAACTGGCTAAAGCTGTTACGCGACTACGCAACCCCAACAACATTCAGAAGACGGAACGAAGGGCGACTCGGACAAACGCAGGCCTTCTATGTGAGCCCTATGATAAAGTATACATGCCGGGCCCGTGGTCGACCCGGAGCAGGCGGCGCAACGTGCTGACCTGGACTCCAGGTCAGCACGTTGAGGAGATCCTTCTCGCTCATGCTGTCGCGATATCTGTGGCCCCCGCAGACCCCCGTGCCGACATGTGCATCGATTGGCAGGCAGGGCGGCCCAGTGCCTCGTGCATTTGGCGACGCCTGGAGATGGGCGCTCAGGAGCGTCGATGCGGCAGTTTGACTTGTTCACGAAGAGCAGACATATCAACATTTTCCGCTGACGCGGGGCGCCCGCGCTGGCCCCGGGGGCGGCGGCGGCCGACGCGGCGCCTGCGGAGCGCGCGAGGTCACCCTTGCTCCGACCATTGCCGCATGCGGGGGCCGCCTCGCTGCGCGCGCGAAGCCGCTGGCGCGCCCGCCCGCTGACCCTGTCCTGCACGGCTGGCGCTCGCGGGCAATTTGGCGGCAGTGCGCAACGACGATTGCGGGGCCAGGCCGCGCGCTAGGCCTCGACCCCGACGGCCGCCGCCGTCGGCAGGGGCGGCGCGGCGCGAGGCAGCCCCCCGGGCGCGTGGGGCGGGCCGAGGCGCGGCGTCTTGTCCCGGCGCGCCGCCGCTCGGGCAGCCGCGCGCCACGCCTGCGCGCGGGGCCCGCTGCCGCGCGGCGCGCAGGCGACGCGGGTCAGCAAAGCGCGCGCGCGCGCGACGCGCCGCAGATTGCGCGAGGGCAGATGACGCACGCCAGCGCACGCACGCACGCACGCACGCGCGCACCCGCGCAGAGGTGGGGCATGTCAGATGAGTAAGTCTCAGCGATGAATCGCGCGTGGCTTATGATTGATTGTGTGGTCGGGCAGGAAACGTAGAAGCGCGCGTGAGCTGAGAAACTTCGCCCTGGTTTGCGCATTGTTCAGAGATCGCGAATGCTTCCGGCGGGCGACGCTGGAGAGCCCCGTGCATTCTCATCACCGTCGAGCGCCCGTGCGCCTTGGTGTCGCGCGCGAAGCAGATAGCGCGCGCGCGCCCCCCCATCGAGCGACGAGCTTTCGCGGGCAATGTCCGCTTCCCAATGCATTAAAAGGATTGGTTTATTCAGTGCTTGCTGAGACCTCCTGCCTTTAGACAATGCGACGCTGGCCGCCGGCACCTATCTGGAATCTGACGCGAGCATGTGTCCCTGGCGAGAGCAGCGCTTCGGCGTGGGCGAAGGACCGGGGCCCCCGCCCCCGCGACCGCGCCCCCTTCAATTCGTCGCGGTCGAGATGCGCCGTGGAGGCGCAGGACCGCCAAACGTGAGTTGCGCGAATATCGACGAGCGTCGCGCCCGCCTCCCGCAGATCCTCGGCGCGGCCCCTGCGGAGGTCACGCAACCGAGGGATGCGGCGGTTGACCGCGGAAGCTCGGCGACGAGAGGCGCGCCCGCTTACGAGAATTTCACGCAGCCTGGATAACAGAAGGCAGTGCGCTCCGCGATCTCTGCGCCAGGCGGCCCGTTCGCGCGTCGTGCGCAACGTCGCGTGGCGGAGCCCGCCCCCCAGGGCGCCGCCGGCCCAGTGAACCCGATGCTGTTCGCGAAGCGTCGCGGGTTCGCGCTCCCGGAACGCGACCGCGTCCGCGCGGGCCAGCAGAGTGCCTCCGCGGCAGTTGGCGGCAGAGGCGAGGCCGTGGCGGGGCGCCGCTTGCCCTCCCAACGAGGTCGAGCGAGGGGCGGAAGTGAGAAAGATAAGGCCTTTTTTCGGAGGGTGGCGGGACTTATCAGAAGCCCTCGCGCCTTCTGAAAGGTTTGGGTCGGGTTGCAACATTTCTCGATGGCCAGGGGGACCTCCGAGTTTTCTGAAAAGGCTTTGTTCTTTTCATTTACCCCCTTGTTCGCCGCCGATAGTCGCCATCCCGCAGCCAACCTCGGAGATCTCTTTGTCGTCATGATCGGGCCCCGACTCCTTCTCGAGCGCGCTTGGAAACACGATTCTGAATGAGAGCATATCCGGGAACATCCATCAGCCCAACCAATTTCTCTTCCAAATTGTCGTCTTCGCCGTCGCCGCCGTCGCCGTCGCCTTCGCCTTCGCCGCCGTCGCCGCTGCCGTGGCAGTCGCCCCGATCGTGAAAGCCAGGGCTCAGGGGGCAGACCCGGCCGTGCCGACGAAGAGGCTTCCCAGAAGCGAGGAAGGGGGAGAGACGCCAGATTGTCGCGTCATCCTGTGTTTCCTCTCGCAGTCGTCGCTGTCCCTCTTGCAGGCAGTCGTCGCCGTCGCCGTCGCCGTCGCCGTCGCAGCCGTTGTCGCCGTCGTCGTCGTCTTCGCCGTCGTCGTCGTCGTTTTTGTGGTCGTCGTCGTCGTCGTCGTCGTCGTCGCCGTTGGCGGCGGCCGCGGTTCGTCGTCATTTACGCCGCCGCCAGCCGCCAGGGGGCACCGTTGGCCTCCGCCCGCCGCCAGGGAAGAGCCCCTGCCGTACCTGGGGCCCTTCAGGCAGAACCCGCCCGAGACGGGCCTGCGCGACGTGGAGGAGCCGGGCCCGCCGAAGGGTATAGGAGGTGAAGGAGGCGAGAACGCAGTAACTAAAATAACTCACTCGGGTCGGAATCGGGGTCAGAATCGATATCCGACCCCCTCGACGGGACGTCTCCCCTTGCGCCTGCACTCTCTCCAAGTCCGAGGGAAGGAGTCCAAAAGCCTCCAGGACGACACGCTCGGACGCAAAACCAGGTACCTCATGGGGCGGCAGCTCGCCGAACCAGGGGGCGTTTCGAACAAAATCGCCTGACGCATCATTGGCCTCTCTTACAAACTCAACGGTTCTGGGACGACTAGTTCCAGGTCTATGGTGGACGCACGGTAGTGAGGATGTCTTCCTCTGCTAATTCGCTGCGACTTTATGCCAGGGCTAGCTGGGACTCCCTTACATTGCTCCCGAGCACAACGCCAGGACGGAAGTCCGAACAATATGCCCCGCATCGGAAACAAAACGTGAACCACCGGCCCCCGGGTGAGGGGGAGTCGTACGCGCATTTAAGCAGGGCATGGCCCCAGACTTATGATGTTCCAACCTACTTTAGCCTTGATCACCAGAAATAATTTTGAGCGCCAGAAAGAAGTACCGAAACTCAAGGGTATTCACGTGTCGGGCCCTGGGAGACACCTGCCCGACACTGTTTCGACACTCTTTTGACATTCTTTTTGACATTTTTCTGGGTGCTCGAAACTATTTCTGGGATGCGGTCCTCCAGAGGATGGGCACAGCATAGCCCCAGACGAACAGCTCGCCGAAGGGGCCATGTCAGGCCAGAGAACAGCACCCGTCCCGCCTCCACCCGGCTCCGGCACGCCCAGCTCCCCCCCCACCGTCTCCAGCGTCCCCGGCCGTGCGGCCCGTCCTCGGGTGGCGGCCTCCCGGGGGGCCTGGGCCTGCTCGGCCTCGGGCGCCGCCCGGTCCCCGCTGCCCAGACCTGCCGTTAAGTCGGGCCTGTCCCCCTACCGGGGGATTTTCGACGAAAAATAAAACATACCCCACACATAGGCAAACAATAGTCCAGAAATGGTCTGGGCACTATTTTTGGAGTATGTTTTGACCTCTTTGGGGTATTTCGGGGGTATTTTTAATTTTTCGTCGAAGATCCCCCTGTAGGGGGACAGGCCCGACATAAACCTGGTCCTCGCGGCCCAGACCTACGTGTTGGCCCTGGCCGCCGCCGCCTGGCCGAGGTGAGCCTCGAGGGAGCCAGCCCAGCGTCCTGCCTCCAGCGCGAGGAAGCGAACAACCCTGCAACGAAAAGTCGGCATGCTTCTGCTCAGCTCCACGCATCCCTGCACCAGCCCTTGGCATACGTGTCGGCACTCTCGTTAGCGCGTTTTTCCCACCACGTGGTGAGGCCTCGATGAACGTCCAACGCCGACGCATGAGCCACAGTCTTGTGGGCCTCATAGTCGCTCCTCTCAAAGCTGCTCGAGCCCTCGAGGTGCCCTCGAGGTGCCCCCGCGGACCTCGAGGTGCCCTCGAGGTGCCCTCGAGCTGGGACCACAGATGCCCTCAAGGTGCCCCCGCGGAGGGCCCAGAGCCAGGTCCCCTCGTGGAGCACCCTGAGGGTGGGCTCTCAGCCTCCTGGGGAACAACGCTGGAGGAGACATGAAGAGGGAGGAGAAGGAGGAGGAAGAGGAAGAGGAGGAGGAGGAGGTGTCGCGACCGCAGCGCTGTATTCGACATGTGGAGGGGTGGGAGTAACAAAACGTCGAGAAGCAAATTCTGCGCAAGCATAAGGGCCGAATGATTTTTATGCAGTTTTCCTCAAAAAGGGACGGCCTAGGTGCATCCAGGTCGCCCGCAGGGGTGCAGAGAAACTGGGAATTTGCGCTTCGCGGTTTGGGCCGGAGAGTGCAACGCAGGCGACCTGGGTGCACGTCCGAAAAGGGGAGGAGGAGGAGGAGGAGGAGGAGGAGGTGGAGGAGGAGGAGGAGGAGGTGGAGGAGGAGGAGGAGGAGGGGAAGGACGAAGACGACGACGACGACGACGACGACGACCACAACAAGGACCACGACGTCGACGCAGGCGACGCCTAGACGTCCCGCAGGTGCTGGGGGCGAGACCTCGGGGGCTTCAAAGAAAAGGTCACAAAGGAAACAAATGCAAAATAGGCAAGCGCCCAACCGGCCCACACGTGTCTCTTGGAACTACCGCGAAAAAGGACGGAGGGGGGGCGAGGAGGAGAGGAGGGAAGAGGGCGTCACAACGCAGAGGCCCCGAACGCCCGAAAATCTAGATCCTCGATCTCCTCCACGATCACATGCCTGGGCTGCCCGAGGCCCCCCTTCCCGAGCCCATGTGGAGTCTGAGACCATGCGACCGTCAAACGCACCCAGGGCCGAGCCAACATGGTGGCCGAACGGGCTCAGTTCCCGCTGGCATCTTTGGATCGAGCTCATTCGGCTGCCTTTTCGGCCGCCGAGCGGGCCCAGTTCCCGCCGGCAGTTTTTGGATCGAGCTCGTTCAGCTGCCCAGCTGGCGGCCGAGCGGGCCCAGCTTCCCGCCGACATCTTTGGACTGAGCCACTCCGGCTGCCTCGTCGGCGGCCGAGCGGGTTCAGTCACCTCCGACATTTTGTTTGTGAAGGATGTATTCACTGAACTGGTACAGGCCAGGGTTTCTCGAAATGAGAGACCTCTCTTGTCGGCAGAATTTGGAGGTATTTGGCCAATCGGCAAAGATTTGATATACTTCCGGCTGATCCATATCGGCTGCCCCCGTCGGCCGCCAGGGGGGGCGCAGGTGCCGAGCGCGCTCCGAGGGGAGCCCCGGCGCAGCCGGCGGGCGTCCTCCGGAGGGGTCTCGGAGGCCCCCACGGAGGGCCCGAGACGGCTGAGAACCTACATCGTCGATCGTCGATCCCAAACTCACCGAGCGCGTTCCACTACTCGCAAAGTGCCTACTCGCAAACGTCCGAAAACACACACGTCTGCTTTGATGTAATTTATCGTAGTTCCTCCGCGGGGGATCCAGGCCATTTGCGAGAAGTCACGTTGCGAGTAGTGGAACGCGCTCGTCTACAGACGTTCCCACGCCTGCCCAAGGGTTCCCTTCTGAGCGCGTTCGGTTCTTGAGCCCGTTCGGCCACCTCTGAATCCATAGGCAGTCGAAGGAGCTCACTCCAGAGATGCCAACGGGAAGTGAGCCCGGTCTTGTCAGACGCCAGATGGGCTCAGAAGGGCTTTTTCGGCCGCCGAGTTGACTCGTCCTTGGGTCCGTTGAGCGGCCGAAGGGGCTCAGACGCCGAAGCGGGCCCAGAGGGGGGCCCGTGGGGTGCCGCCTGGGCCTGGGCTTAAGTCGGGCCGCTCAATCTACAGGGGCAATGTTCAAAAATAGTGAAAAATAGTCTGGAGACTATTTTTTGAGTGTTCTTGGGCATGTTTTGAGTACGTGTTTTAAATACCTGTACGACCACCCTTCGGGTGATCAGGGGGTGAGCGGGGGGGGAGGGACCAACGTCGCACTCGATCGATCTCACTATCGAACTCACTACCGATCTCACAATCGATCTCAGCCGATGGATCTCACAATCGGTCGGACTATCGATGTCACTATCGATCTCACAATCGATCTCACATTCGGACTCGCTATTGATCCCACAATCGATACCACAATCGATCTCACAATCGATCTCACATTCGATCTGACTATCGATCTCACTATCAAACTCACTATCGATATCATTATCGATCTCACATTCGGTCTCACTATCGATCTCACTATCGGTATCACAATCGATCTCACAATCGATCTCGCATTCGGTAGCACTATCGATCTCACTATCGAACGCACTGTCGATATCATTATCGATCTCACATTCGGTCTCACTATCGATCTCACTATCGATATCACAACCGATCTCACAATCGATCTCACATTCGGTCTCATCATCGATCTCACTATCGAACTCACTATCGATCTCAGTATCGATCTCAATCGATCGATCTCACAATCGATCTGACTATCGATCTTACAATCGATCTCACAATATATCCCAAAATCGATCTCACATTCGGTCTCACTATTTGTCTCACTATCGATATCACCATCGATATCACAAACGATCTCCCATTCCCATTTTGTCTCACAATCGATCTCACTACCGATACCACTATCGATCTCACTATCGATATCACAACCGATCTCACAATCGATCTGACATTCGGTTTCACGTTCGATCTCACAACCGATATCACTATCGATCTCACTATCGATCTCACATTCGACCTCACTATCGATCTCACAATCGATCCGCATCACCATCAACAGCATCATCGGGACACCATCAACACCATCATCATCATCATCATCATCATCATCATCATCATCATCATCATCATCATCATCATCAGCACCACCATCATCATCATCAACATCATCATCATCGGGACACCGACGGGGCACCACCGACGGGACACGGGCGGGACACCGCGGGCCCCCGGCCGCCCGGAAGGGAGTCATTTGGTCCGGCCGCGCCTCAGCCACACGGGACACCAGCGGGACACCGGCGGGACACCGCGGGCCTCCGGCCGCCCGGAAGGGAGACATTTGGTCCGGTCGCGCCTCAGCCACAGGAGACTTTCTCTCGCCCGCCCACGCAGCTTCGCCTCGCCCGCACGGCACGCACGAACACGAAACCGAAATCGATTTCCTGGTAGGGGGGCTCTCCGTTCCACTTCGATCTCACCCCCTCACCTCCGATTTTTAATGTTTCGTCCAAAATCTCCCTGTAGGGGGACAGGCCCGACCCAAGCCTGGGCTGGACGCCCCGCAGGCCGGAGACTGGGACGCCATCTTCGACCGCCTGGGCTGGATGCCCTCCGCCCCGAAGGCCGCGCAGCGGCGCCCTCAGCGGCGCGCCGCCTCGCGGGGCGCCTCGAGGTCCCGTCGATTGTTTGTCGGGGATGGACGGACCCCCCTTAGTAAAACGTGGTTTAGTGAAAACGACCTGAGGCCCAAACCTGGCGGGCGCAAGCCTGGCAAATAACGGCCACGGTGCCCTCTCGAGAACCGAAAACGGACAATTCACTAATCGACGTGTCACTGTTGGGGGTTCTGTCCACCCCCAGTTTGGCACGAAGCATGCATCGGGGGTGGACAGACCTCCCACCCTGACACGTCGATTCAGGAATTGGCCGCTTTCGGTTCGCGAGGGGGCGTCGCGGCCGTCATTTCTGCGGGTCCGGGTCCGTCGGTTTCGGTCCCAGGCCGTTTTCCTTAAGGGATGGTTTACTAAAGGGAGGTTTGTCCACCGCCAAATGCAGGCAGTGTCTCCCTTCTTCCTCGCTCTTGGTCGTCGTCGTCCTCCTCCTTGAAGCCGCGCAGGTTCAGTTCCCGTGCCCGCCGTGGCCATGCGGTCTTGACGGGTGTGGCAAGTGCTGGCATCTGCGCTGATGCGTTCGTTGCGTGGAATCCTCTCGCGTGCAACGGAGAGGACACAGGCTACTGGAAATCGCCGAAGAGTCCCAGAATGCCGACGTAATCATCCTGATTGGTTTAGAGAGAGAGAGAGAGACAAAACAAACAAAACAAAAAGTGGATCGGTGTCGAGGTACCCGAGCACCTTACATCATAATCGTAGCTGCTCGTTTTCGATACACTGCGAAGGACGAGCTGCGCAAGGACACCACGCGCGCCAAGCATAGAGTAATGACGTGGACGAGGACCCCTGGTCTACGTGGTGGGCTATTGGTATTCCGACTCAAGGGTCACAAGTTCGACACCACGACCATCGCCTGCTAGTGCTGCCAGATCTCCAGAGACCCTAGAGTTGTGTCGTCGGTTGGACAGGAGGCCCGTTTGCAAAACTATTCGATTGCGAAACATATCGAACACATAGTTTTCATGAATACGCGAAACATGCAAACACTATGTACAGACAAACATGTGCTGTGCGCACAATGTTTGTATATATATATATATATATATATATATATTCGTTAGTGTGTTTTTCGTATTGGAGGAGCGTGCCACTTACGCGAGCCGAGAGATATTTGGCATGCCACTCCAGTGCAGTTTTCTCTGTATGCGGACGTTGTGCCGCCGCCGATTGGTTTGCAAGGCAGGTCCAGGTTGGCCCGGGGAAACGCGTCGACGCAGCCCTCCTCGCGGGGGCCCCCGCCAAAGGGCTCCAGAAGGGCCAGGAGGGAAGCTCGAGAGGCTCCCGGGGCCTCTCCTCGCGGGGGCCTTCCCGAAGCCCTCCAGAAATTCGGCATGGGCCCCCAGACGGCCCGAGAGGGTTCCAAAAGGGCCCCCTTGGGCCGTCCGGGGGGAGCCCTTTGGGTCAAAATATATTGGCGCCACCTCTGGGTTCAGAGACCTTGGCTGCGTTTGCGCCTTTTCGGGTCTTGTTCGGGACTTTGGGAGCGGGTCGCGGGGGGCCCCGGAGGCGTCCCAGAAGGGCCCAAGTAGGGCCCAAGACGGTCCAAAGAAGGGCTCCCGACAGAGGCACCTAGAGGGCCCTCTTGGGTGCCATTGGGGGGGGGGGTTCTCCTTGGGCCGCCCCCTGGGCCTCTGGGAGCCTTATAACTCTTTGTGAGCTCATTCGGGACTTCGGGGGGGCTTCGGCGGGGCCCCAAGAAGAAGGGCCCAGGGGGCCCCAGGAAGATTTCAAGAGGGCCCCAAGAGCGTTCCAAGAGGGCCCCCCAGAGAGGCGCAAAGTATGTGCACGAGTGTGCCTCTTTTTGTGGGCCTCTGTGCGCAATCTCGGGCCCTTCTCGGAGCCCTCTTGGGGCCCTCTTGAGCCGTCCAGGTGTCTGTTTGGAATTCTTGCGGGGCTTCGGGAAGGCCCCGAGAGGGGTCCAACAGGGCCCCGGGGGGGATGAGGCCCATTGCTTTGTTTTTTGAGCTAGTGCTGCGCGGATCTCGAAGTGATTGTTTCGCCCCCTCGCAGGCCGTCTCGGGGGGTGGGGGGCGACGTGCGGGGGGGGCCGGCGGGGGGGGCTGCGCGACGCGGGTGAGTGGAGCATTGACCCTGTGGGCGGCGGTGGGCGCGGTTGTCTTGACGGGCCCCCGTGCTCACTTGGCAGGTGCCGGACGCGACTGGCGTCCTGAGGGCCGACGACGACGAGGAGCGCGCGCGCGCCGAGCGCAACCAGGCGTGCCCGGAGGCGCCTTTAAATTAGGCATGTTTGTTTGGGCGTTTGTATATAAGTTTGGGGACTTCGGAATCGCGCTTTACAACACGTATTTCTTCTATGAATTTGGTTTTTGAAATGCACAACACATTGATACTATTGTCTTATTCGTATTCTCATCTTGGTATCTTGTAGTTTTGGCAGTTTCCAGAAGTTGTAATATGGGTGTTTTGCAACAGCGATCGATGTTTAAACTTGTAATACGTAAGTTTTGAAACCGCAGCGGCTTGGCTTGGCTTTAGACTTGTAACATGTAGCATGCCGGGGGAAATTGCATCCCGCTTGTTTGCAAAACGCGCGCGCCCGTCTCCACCAGCGCCGTATCAAGAGCCTTGGAGGGCCCGAGGAGCCACAACATTGGTCGAACATTGCAGCAAGCAGATCCCATTGGCGCCAGAACGGGCCCGCGCGGGGGCCCATGCCTGACCCGCGCGCATTGCGTGTCTCGGGGGCACTCTGGGCCAACGGGGGTTTCCCCGTGCCCTCGCGCCCCGTCGCGGAGTCCGCTGGAGGGCCGCATGAGGCCAAGAAAGCTCCAAATTGTTGTCAAAGACGAGAGCCGCCATCTTGAGCGCACGGGGCCCCTCTAGGGGTCTCTTGGGGCCCTCTTTGGGCCCTGGCCTCGCAGGGCCTGTCCGGGTTTGGCGCCGCCAGGTGCGACTGGTTCGGCGTGCGCGAGGTCGGGCACGCACGTTCGCTGGGATTCGCGTGCTTCTGCGGGACTTGTCGCATTAGTCGCGTTGTCGTGACATTGTGTTGCAGCATCGGGCTGGGGGTCAAACGGCAAAGTGGAGGGTTCCCGCGTTGATCCTCGCCCGTTCGAAATGGCGCGCGGGGGCTTACAGCGGGAGCGCCAGGGAACAATTGTCATTTTCGCGCATGGCCCCGCGATGGAAACCGCGAGAAGGGGACTGTTTACTGCCTGAGCATCCGTGCGTTGAGCAATTTTGCGTGCCCTGGCCTGTCGCGAGCGGCGGCGGCCTTGCTTCCGCGGCAACTGGCGTCTACTGCGATCTCCACCCCCAGGATCCAAGCAGCGATGCCTTTAGAGGCCAGAGGTCAGCGTGCGGATCCACGGGTGGCTAGCGCGCGCCGCGGCTTGCGCGGGGCGCGCGGTCCACCGTGCGCCCCGTGGCAGGGGCGCTAGTACTTACGCGAGCCATTGCACTGTCGTCCAAGATTCGGCGCAGACGTTCTCTCGTTCATTACAAGGCAGGACGGAGACATGACGTCAGAGAAAACAGAGGGCGTTGCCAGAACTGTCGGACAACGGCGTTTCAGCGGCCACGGTAATGCTTGCACGCGCCCAGTTCAAACGTTCGCGCAATGAGAAATGCGCGCGCGACCTCCGTATTCTGATGGTTTTGTAAAATGTAGTATGTGCTTGCATGGGCAGAATCCGGTTTTCTAACTTTCCGTATTTCGAAAACCATCATTCGACATATTTCTGGCAAATTTCAATGTTGTTGCGTCTGTGGCCCTGCGTGGGCCCGCCCAGCAACGCAACCGTAGAGAGAGAGAGAGAGAGAGAGAGAGAGAGAGAGAGAGAGAGAGAGAGAGAGAGAGAGAGAGAGAGGATGCATCGAGGCGACGACGGACGATATTCTGGGGCTGGCTGGCCAGGCGTTGTGCCCCACCCCCCCGAGCTTGATGTTTTTTGTCGCTGTGGCCGCCAACGACGGAGTGCGAGTGCGACGTGACAGCGGACGATTGCACCACGCCGAGTCGTCAGCCATAGGGGGGCGCGGAATTTCTGAGGAGCACTACACGGACAATGCAGAAAGAAAGTAAAGCGGGAACCGCGCTATCATGAAGGTGATGTTGCTGATGACGATGGTGATTTTGATGCTGACGATGTTGGTGATGGTGGTGTTGATGGTGATGTTGATGCTGTTGGTGGTGGTGCTGCTGATGTTGGTGGTGATGATTGTGATGATTGGGATGATGATGATGCTGTTGATAATGAAGATAATGAGGATGATTAGGATGGTGATGATGATGCTGATGATGATGATGCGGGGGATTTGTATGATGTTGGGGCTGATCATGCGGATGAAGATGTGGCTGAGGATGATGCGGGTGAGGATGATATTGATGGTCCAGATGACGATTGTGATGATGCTGGGCACGGTCTTCCATGTCGGACCCACTTACCACGGTGACCAACAGCATTCCAGCTGGATAGTTCACGCGTGCATCGGATCGCCGAGCTTCCGCAGGAATTCTGGTCAACGAGGGTGCTGCAGACGATCCCCGACAATGGGCCGCGCGATCAGGTTGTGTTCGGCTTCGAGATCGAGGTCCAGTTCGACCGCGCCGAGAAGAATAACGTCAACAAGTGAGACTACCTCAGCTTGGCGCGCGTATTCACACTGGGTACCGTCGCGCCATTCTACAGACTGGAAGTCGAGAATCAGCTCCAGCAGACCATCGACGACGCAGGCGGCGTGGGCGTTAACGCCTTCTGAACATGGATGGCGCCTGAAGGATCTTGGTGCTTGTGCTGAAGGGGGCCATCAAACAGCACTTCGCTGCGACCGACAGAGGCCGCGTCGCCAGCTAACCAAGAACTATCGGGCTAACGAACAAATCTGGCGCTGGAAGGCAGACGAACTGCGAGCGTGTCAATTGGGGCCGGCACGGGGGGCGCACGGCGACTATGCAGGGGCGCGACGCAGTGCAACATGTTAAGAAGGAGAGTGCACTAACAACGAGAACACGTTGTCAATGACGAGCTGCACGAAGCATAGCCGCAAGGAGCGGAAACATGAAAGTGGACAATGTGACAAGTATTCGCGGCCAGCGGCTTCGGGGCCAAAGTAAGGACCTGCAGCGAGTTCCCCGACGCCTGCCATCGGCAGCAGCATAGACAGATGACGCCCCCATACCACGTCAGAAAGGAGGGGTGCTCGCCCGCGCGCGGACCTACGACGCGGCGGCAGCGGAGGTACTCGCGCGAGACGGCCAATTGCCACCTGCCGCCGGCGATATCACGGACGCCTTATTAGACGTCGGCCGCAGTGTACGTAGACTGCGAAACGCCCAACGCAGAAGAGCAGCTGTACCATGGTTTGCACCAGCTGAGGTGTTCACGCCCCTGTTAGCGGAATGACCTTCCCTGACATCGACTGTTGCGGGCGCTGCAGTTCCGGCGCCGGCCCTGGCCGGTAGGCCAGTGAGATGGTGGGCCTTCGAGATGCTGGCCCAGGTCAGACAGCGGCGCCGACGGATCACCCATTGGAGCCAATCGCGCACAAGCCATGCCCCCAGGTACAACGGCGACGCTAGAACAGCAGTGATGCGGGGATGCGCGTCTTGCGGGGCCTGTGCGCCATCGGCAGGGCGCGGGTCAAGACCGCGAGCAATTCGCAGCGCGACGTGCGACATTCTGACCTCATATACCTGCCGATACTTGCCGAGAGGAGCAAGATCAGGGGCCGCGCGGGCGACGGTCGCGTTGAACTGGCGCTTCAACGGGGCGAAGAAACCGAGCGTCGAATCGATGCGCGACGCGCCTCCGTGAAACGCCCGGCGCTGGACGATTCGACGGACTGTGTCAATGGGCGCGGCGTCTGCGACACCCTGAAGAAGCGCCGCGGCGGCTGCTGCCTGGCCGACGCGCCCGGCGACGCCATCGTTTTCAAGAACTAAGTCAGACGCTATATGGGCGATGCCAGCATGCTGACCCTCTACCAGGAGGCCTCCGAGACCCCCCATCGCCGACTGGGCCAACGCAATCGAACATACCGCGGCCCGCGAGTTTTACGCGCGGGGCCCTGTCTCCACTGAGCTGACGCACTTCTCGTTGCTGGTGTGCGCCATCGACGTGAACGGGAATCGCGAAGCGGCGCGCCCCGACGACGCGGTCGAATGCGCCATGAGGTCCGACTTCAGGCTGGACAGAGAGCCGGCCGAGCGGGGCATCGCACCGAGCGAGGGCCAGAACGGGGTCGCACTGGTGAGTAGGCCGTCGGGGAGGCAGGTGCATTCGGACCTTCTCTACAGGTGGATGTACTCGCGCGGCCGCGGCTCTGCAACGCACTCGCCCTCCCTCCTCGGGCTCGGCCCGCCGCGCGGCTGGACTGCGGCGGGGGCGATCCCCGGCGGGTCGTCGAGCACAGTGGGGCCCCGGGCCGAGGGGGGGCCGGACGCGTGCCTGAATCAGATCGGCGCGATCAGCTGCGCGGCGCTGGCGGGCCTCGTCGAGAGGCTCGGTCGTGGGCGGGGGGGGGGCGGAATGGGCCGCGCGAGCGGGGTCAGCCGGGGCGTGCTGGCGGCGGAGGCGCAATAATTATCCCCGGAGGTGCGCGGCGGCAGGCCCCCCTTTGCGAGGGCGGCGCCGACCCAAGGACGCACGCGCGTGAAAATAGCCATGGGGGGGGGGGTCGGCGGAATCGGCTGACAGCGATGCGCTAGGGGCAGCTAGGGGGCACGATCGCTGGCCTGGCGCCCGCGTCGCGCGCGGAGAGGCCGCTGCGCGCCAGTCTCGCGGCCATTGGGGCGCTGTAGAACTGGGCCCTCGTCGCCTGCCGCGACGTCATCGGCCATGGGGCGGCTTGCGGCACTGGGCGCTGCCCCAGGGGCCATCGGGCCCAATGTCGCGCGGCGCCCAGGGCACAAGTTGACCGCGTTGGCGAGGCCTGGCCGCTTCTCCGGCAAATCGTCGCCAGCGGCGGCGTCGTCGGCCGTGGGGCGGCCGAGGTCGGGCACTGCCGCGAGGGCTTGCGGGCCCGGTGGCGAGTGGCGCTCGGGGCCCAGGTCGGCCGCGTCGGCGGGGCCCAGCAATTTTGCCGAGATGGCCACGACCGAGCGCGAGGCTGGTGGGGGCGTGGGCGCGGTGGATGTCCAGCGCCGACGCGAGACGATGGTTCTGCGAAAGCCACGCGTTGCCTTTCGCCCCCGCGCTCCGGCGGGAGAGACCCCCGGCGACTCAAGAACGCGCGCGAGATGATTGCTCGCGGCCTGGCCCCCACCTCCCCAGTCCCATTTTACCCCGCGCCGACCCTCGTCGCTGCCCGGTCCCATCTCGCGCCCGCTAGGTGCGAAAGCCTCCGCGGGTAGCTCGCCCCCCGCCGCCCCTGCGCCGCCCCTCCTACCTTGCGCGAGCCCTCCGTGCCGAGCCGCCTTGATCCCCGCGCATCTCTATGCGGCCGCGCGGTCAGTGGGCAGGGCCCTCGGAACCCTGAATCTGTTATTTGGCGGGCTTGGAGTCTTCCGCTGCAAGGGGCGATTCCAATGCGCGACTTAGCAAATCCTGACGCGTGCCATAGGATTCTTTCGTTCGTTTTGTTCAGCTGGGAAGATCTTGGCACCGCGAGGCGGCCGGGCGATCTGCGCGTACTTGATTTGTTGGATTAACAGCAAAGGCGAACTGCGCCGCCCATGTTTGGGGCGTCGCGCTGTTGCGCTGGAGTGGCGTGCGTTTTGAGCGTCGGATCTGGAGGGGCAAGGTGTCGCCGGGGTGGAGAGGTGAGCAGAGGAGGAGTTCCTTCGTCGCGTTGCCGAGTCTCGCTCTCCCCTTATGGCGCGCGCGTGCGAGACAGCCGCAACGCCGACCTCCCTGTTTCCGCGCACATGTAGACGACTCAGGGCAGGGTCTCCGTGCTAACGCGGCACCCGTGCACGTCGAACCTGCCAGGGAACAGGGCACCTCAGATACAACCCCAGAAATGGCACGGGTCCAAGGGGGCCCGCATCTATGTAACTACACAGGGGTCCTTCAAATATTGAAGCTCCCTGCGGCCTGATTCAGAGACCCCCAACGGTCGCATCTGAGCCATCATCCTTGACAGCTTTGTGGATTGATTGATATGCAAGCGCTTTTGTGCATTCGTTGTACGGCATCGTGGAGCCAATGTGTTTCTTGCCCTATGGCGCCACCTCTGGGCTCTTCAGGGTAGCCCTGTGGGGCGATTCCCAACGTCTTGTTCCGTCGCGTCGTTTGTTTGTTTGTTTGATGTTTTGTTCGCTTGCGGCTACCAACAGAATCCCCCATTTTCAAGGTTCGATTTTGCTGTTCGTGCTTAGTTTTTTATTTGGGGGCGGGGTGCTTCCTTTTTTCCCAGGGTGCGCGCGCGGCGTCTGGGCCAGTCGCCCCCCCCCTCCCTCCCCCGCTCGCCTGCCCAGCCGGACGGCCCCACGCGCTCGCAGCCCCGCGGCGATCCGCCGATGACAACGTCGGCGACGATTGCGACGAGGACGGCGACGACGACGGCGACGGCGACAGCAGCGGCGGCAGGGGTGGCGTCGACGAGGCAACACGACGACGACAAGACAGCACGACGTCGACGAGGCAGCACAGCAACGGCGGCGACGACGGCGACGACGACGATGCGGCAACGACGAAGACGAGGGCGACGATGAAGACGAGGGTGATGAGGGAGACGGGGGTGGGGGGGGAAGGTGTCAAAGGGAGGGGGGGCGAGACAACAAACGGTCGAAAACATTGAAATCTCGAAGCTCGATCTTCGAACCGGCAGCATCGGCGGCGGGGGCAAACCGAGGCCGCACCCAACAGCTGGGCGGCCACTTGGCAGCAGCAAGTCCGCGCCCAGCCCTGAGGCTTGCGCCCAGCCCGCGCGGCCTCTTGTCGTGGTCATCGTCGTCGCGGTGATGGTTGTCGTCGAGGTCGTCGTGGTCGTTGTCCTGGTTTTCGGCGTGGTCGTGGTCGTGGTCGCGATCGGGGCCGTGGCCACCGCCTCAGTTCTTCCCCTCGCCATCCTCTCTCCTGCTCCCGCCGTCCTTCCGCCTCCCCCCCTCCTCCCTCCCGCCTCGTCCCTCCCTCCCTCCCTCCCTCCCTCCCTCCCTCCTCTCCTCTCCTCTCCTCCTGCCCGCGCGGGAACGCGCGCGGGGAAGGAGGGGAACGAAGGGCTCCCCCGGGGCGCCCCGTCGCAGTGCCCTTTCCGCGGCCCCTGGCGCGCTGGCCCGCGGGCCTTCCAGGACGTCGGCCCCCGCGGCGGGCGGGCTTTCCGAGGGGAGCCGTCGCCCACAATGGGCTCGAAGCAGAGGCTACGCATCGCTCGGACGTGTGCATGTTTCGCGTCGGGGACTAGTCAGAGGATCAGATTCGCTCACGCGGCAAAAGAATACACGCACGAAACCGAACAGTGCACAAGGAATGCACGGGACAAGAGGCTCCTGCTTCTCCTCCTTGTCCTCTAGTTCCTCTTCCGTTCACGGGGCCAGCCCCTCGAGGGGGTGCCCAATGGCGACCCGCCCGCTCGTAGACCTGGAAGCTCCGGCCAGGGATGTAATGTGGCGCATGCGCTGTTCGACACCCACACTCTTGTATGTAGGCATGCCGCCAGCGTTGTTTATGTCGACGTCCATGTTTGTGTGACTGGTGCCTGCGAGAGATGGCGCTTGACATGTGGCTTTCCATCATCCTGCTCGGCGGATGCGTCCGGAGGGCCATCCGGAGATGGGGAGGGGCGATTGCGATTTCGCAGTTCGAAACCCAGCCCCGACGAGCTCACAAACACAGTGGCGCGCGAGATGATATGGTCATCTCCCAGCCGACACTTTGCATACGTGACATATTCCAAGTTGCTCAAACTGCTGACTTGCGGTCATTCTCGCCTCCGGGATGAACATTTCGAGCCATTGCTATCCCGGGTCCTTGGGCGGGGCGAATCGTGCACCACATGGGCTTTGGATGGGCCCCGCCACGAGTGTTTGACGACTCAGTGCAATGGTGGACATCCGGAGATCTTGGGAGCAACGGTTTCGCGCGAGCATGCCGGTCGAGAGTGCGAATTTGGTGATTCAGACCGAAGGCGGCGTTCGATACAGCTGATGCGCAGCATCCGCGTGGATAATCGGCCAGTGAAGTATCCAAGTGGCAGCAGGGACGTTGATAGACACGCCATGTTCAGTTTTCGAAGCAGAGGCCATTGCCCTTGATGAGGCTTCGCGGGAAGTCCACGCCCTTTAAACATTGTTCAACGGTGCTGACAGCTGAAATTTGGGTTTCTTGAGCTGCGGAACAGAAACGAACATAACATAACATCCAAACGTTTGTGTGTGTGTGCCTGTGTTGTGTTTTTGTGTGTTTGTGCGTTTGTGGGTTGTGTGTCGGTGTGTTTGTGTGATTGTGAGTTTGTGTGTTTGTGGTTTTGTGTGTGTGTGTTGCGTGTTTGTGCGTGTGTGTGTGTGTGTGTGTTTGTGAGTTTGTGAGTTTGTGAGTTTGTGTGTTTGTGTTTTTGGGTGTTTGCGTTTGGTGTTTGTTTGTGTGTTTGTGCGTTTGCGTGTCAGTGTGTTCGTGTGTTTGTCTGTGTGTGTTTGCGTGTTTGTGGGTGGCATTGGCGCGTCCTGTTCAGCGCGGGGCTTCGCAGCAGTCGAGGTTCTATCAAATGCAGGGGGGTCCCGACAACAACGTGTGCTAGACCTGGGGCTTTCCCCACGACCAGTGCTTCCTTGTGAGTCGCTCCTGGACGATCTGGGTGCCGTGGAGAGCCCCAGGGCCCGAGGGTGGCTGAACATTCGCCGGACTTCGCTTTCCTCCGAAAGACCCGTTTCCGTCATGATGGCCCCCCCCCATCGCATTCCATCGGGGGTGGACAGAACCCCCAACAGTGACACGTCGGTTAGTGAATTGTCCGTTTTCGGTTTTCGAGAGGGCGCCGTGGCCGTTATTTTTCAGGCTTGCGCCCGCCAGGTTTGGGCCTCAGGTCGTTTTCACTAAACCACGTTTTGCTAAAGGAGGGTCTGTCCATCCCCGATTCAGGTGATCGCGCGCGTCCGTTGTTGGTGCGCGCCCGCGCACCCGCGGCGCGCGAATCGGAGGCAGCCATGGCCGGCATCGCGGCGTGGCAGGCGCGGTCGGTCGCCCGGCGGCGGCGACGGTGGCGGCGAGGGCGATGGTGAGGGCGACGCGGTGATCATGGCGACGACGACGGCGAGGGCGGTCTACGACGACGATAACTGAGGCGACGGGGGGGGGAAGGGACTAAGCGGAGGGTGAGAAGTGGGAGGGATAAGGATGCGTGGGGGGGGGGGGGGCGTGCAGGAAGGGAAGGGAAGAGTGGGGCAAGGGGGAGGAGGAGGAAGGGGAATGGAAGGAGAGGAGGTGGAGGAGGAGGAGGACCAGGAGGAGTAGCTGAGGAAGAGGAGGGGGAGGAGGAGGAGGAGGAGGAGGAGGAGGAGGAGGAGGAGGAAGATGGAGACATGTGGATAAGCAGCAGGCGAGAGAGTGAGAGAGAGGTGACAGGGAACAGTGAAACATGATGAAAGGGCGCAGGAGTGAGGGAGGGTGGAGATGAGGAGCATGAAGAGGACCCGAGCCAACCAAGGATTACAGAAACGATGTTGCAACAACCTTCCCGTCCCAGGTCCCCTTATTTCAAAGTCCATGCTCACTTTCCCTTTCGCTGCAGGGAGCGCCACTTTGAAAGACGAGCACCCCGTGTGCCCGCCAGTCAGACGTTAGCCCCGTTGTTGAAAACCAGCTGAGTGCATCCTCTTCAGCGCGGTTTGAGGACTGCGACAAGGTATATATCATCATATCATCGTGTCAGAGCTGGACCTGAACGGTGTTTTGGCGATTTCCTGGGCCGTTTTCGTTTCGACTCCGTTTTGCGGCAAAGGTGGATGGAAGACAAAACGAGGGACAACGAAAGCAAAACGAAAACGAGAGACACCGTTCAGGTTCAGCCCTGCACCATATCAAGTTCCGAGAGGTGTCCAGCGAGGGTCCCGTTATCTGACGAGTGGCACTTCGGCACCTCTCCACTTCTCGGGTCACCAGCGCCCGTTCTGGACGGATGCTCGGCAGGTGCCACGACACTCGAAGCGAACACGTCGTGTTGGGTCCTGCGGCCGCGCAGTCTGTGAAGAGCTGGAGCTGGAACCGTCGCCCCGGTTGTTCCTCCGCCGGCGCCCCAGATCCTCCGATTACCAGCCTGGAACATATCCCTATCCCCATGATTGGCATCGCCTCATCCCGATGCCGATCTTAGGGGTTCCCTCCGTTTCTGAGGGCGCATCCCTCAGATTGCCGTCGACTTTTGGCTTGTTAATCTTAGGGATAGGGATACGTTCGAGGCTGGTTAGCCAAGACACACTCGAAGCGAACACGTCGTGTTGGGTCCTGCGGCCGCGCAGTCTGTGAAGAGCTGGAGCTGGAACCGTCGCCCCGGTTGCTCCTCCGCCGGCGCCCCAGATCCTCCGATTACCAGCCTGGAACATATCCCTATCCCCATGATTGGCATCGCCTCATCCCGATGCCGATCTTAGGGGTTCCCTCCGTTTCTGAGGGCGCATCCTCGATTGCCGACTTCTGGCTTGTTAAATCTTAGGGATAGGGATACGTTCGAGGGCTGGCTGGCCAACAACAACACTCGAAGCGAACACGTCGTGTTGGGTCCTGCGGCCGCGCAGTCTGTGAAGAGCTGGAGCTGGAACCGTCGCCCCGGTTGTTCCTCCGCCGGCGCCCCAGATCCTCCGATTACCAGCCTGGAACACATCCCTATCCCCATGATTGGCATCGCCTCATCCCGATGCCGATCTTAGGGGTTCCCTCCGTTTCTGAGGGCGCATCCCTCAGATTGCCGTCGACTTTTGGCTTGTTAATCTTAGGGATAGGGAAACGTTCGAGGCTGGTTAGCCAAGACACACTCGAAGCGAACACGTCGTGTTGGGTCCTGCGGCCGCGCAGTCTGTGAAGAGCTGGAGCTGGAACCGTCGCCCCGGTTGTTCCTCCGCCGGCGCCCCAGATCCTCCGATTACCAGCCTGGAACATATCCCTATCCCCATGATTGGCATCGCCTCATCCCGATGCCGATCTTAGGGGTTCCCTCCGTTTCTGAGGGCGCATCCCTCAGATTGCCGTCGATTTTTGGCTTGTTAATCTTAGGGATAGGGATACGTTCGAGGCTGGTTAGCCAAGACACACTCGAAGCGAACACGTCGTGTTGGGTCCTGCGGCCGCGCAGTCTGTGAAGAGCTGGAGCTGGAACCGTCGCCCCGGTTGTTCCTCCGCCGGCGCCCCAGATCCTCCGATTACCAGCCTGGAACACATCCCTATCCCCATGATTGGCATCGCCTCATCCCGATGCCGATCTTAGGGGTTCCCTCCGTTTCTGAGGGCGCATCCCTCAGATTGCCGTCGACTTTTGGCTTGTTAATCTTAGGGATAGGGATACGTTCGAGGCTGGTTAGCCAAGACACACTCGAAGCGAACACGTCGTGTTGGGTCCTGCGGCCGCGCAGTCTGTGAAGAGCTGGAGCTGGAACCGTCGCCCCGGTTGTTCCTCCGCCGGCGCCCCAGATCCTCCGATTACCAGCCTGGAACATATCCCTATCCCCATGATTGGCATCGCCTCATCCCGATGCCGATCTTAGGGGTTCCCTCCGTTTCTGAGGGCGCATCCCTCAGATTGCCGTCGACTTTTGGCTTGTTAATCTTAGGGATAGGGATACGTTCGAGGCTGGTTAGCCAAGACACACTCGAAGCGAACACGTCGTGTTGGGTCCTGCGGCCGCGCAGTCTGTGAAGAGCTGGAGCTGGAACCGTCGCCCCGGTTGTTCCTCCGCCGGCGCCCCAGATCCTCCGATTACCAGCCTGGAACATATCCCTATCCCCATGATTGGCATCGCCTCATCCGATGCCGATCTTAGGGGTTCCCTCCGTTTCTGAGGGCGCATCCCTCAGATTGCCGTCGACTTTTGGCTTGTTAATCTTAGGGATAGGGATACGTTCGAGGCTGGTTAGCCAAGACACACTCGAAGCGAACACGTCGTGTTGGGTCCTGCGGCCGCGCAGTCTGTGAAGAGCTGGAGCTGGAACCGTCGCCCCGGTTGCTCCTCCGCCGGCGCCCCAGATCCTCCGATTACCAGCCTGGAACATATCCCTATCCCCATGATTGGCATCGCCTCATCCCGATGCCGATCTTAGGGGTTCCCTCTGTTTCTGAGGGCGCATCCCTCAGATTGCCGTCGACTTTTGGCTTTCTAATCTTAGAGATAGGGATACGTTCGAGGCTGGTTAGCCAAGACACACCCGAAGCGAACACGTCGTGCTGGGTCCTGTGGTCGCGCAGTCTTTGACTGGACCCGTCGCCCCGGTTGCTTCTCGCCGGCGCCCCGGAGCCTCCGAGACGCTGTGTGTTTCCGGAGGGGAAAAAACACACAGACACAATTAAATGTCGACCCCCAGGGAAGTATGGGAAAACATGGGAATTGGGCGGGAAGACAAACACCCAGAAGATATGAGCAAATATGGGGAATCTTGTAATTTGCGCGTATTTCTTTGTGTGGCCTTGTGCCTCTTGAGTGTTTCCGGAGGCGGTCCCCGCGAAGTCTTCGATCCCCTCCGCGGAGAGCCAGCTTCTCACCGCGGGCCAGCTGCTTCGGAGGCAGGGGGGGAGATGCCACCAGCACCAGCAGAAGGGCCACCCATCCAGGAGGGCCACGATGGCCCCCCGAGCAGGAGATGTGCGGGACGCCTAAAAGCAGGAGGGAAAAAGCACACAGGCACAATTCATCGTCGATCCCGAAGAAAAGATGGGAAAATATGGGAAGTGGCGGGGAAGGCAAAATCAGAGAAACTATGGGAAACTATGGGGAATTCTTTATTTGTGTGTATTTATTTGTGTGTCCCAGGGCCCCTTCATAAAAGCAGCGACACCACACCACACCACCACGAGCACTGTCCATTGGTCCTTGCGATAGTGGTGTTGGTGTTACCTTGACCGTACCCCTAGCTTTCTGGATGATCCTGCATGCGCTTCCGCCAGGAATGCAAGGCCACACTTTGTCGGGTCCTGGAGGCGACCTCCTGAAAACCGATAAGGCGAGACACATTCTGCTCGGCGTGATATTATCGTGCCGGCTGGAGGTCTGCTCTGTTCCCTCGATATGGGCACTGGACACCCGAACCTCTCCTAAAGCGCGTTTTGACTTGGATTTCTGGGCACACTGCTCCGTTCGGCGGCGAGCGAGGGGGGGAAATGAGAAGGAGAAGGCCTTCTCAGAAGGCGGCGGGACTGTTCAGAAGCCCTTGCGCCTTCTGAGAAGTGTTGTCTGTCTTCCGGGAAATCGTTGAAAGCTTCTCAGAAGGCCGGGGGACTTCCGAGCCTTCTGAGAAGGCCTTCTCCTTCTTACTCCCCCCCTCGCTCGGCGCCGAGCCGTGGCCACGTTGTCCGCCCAGACGACCCCTGCGGCTGGCAGGCAGGGGCGGCCTCCCGGCGGCGTGCGCGGCGGCCCCGCGCGCGCGCGCTCAGGCCGCCAGGGCGAGCGAGGCCGCGGGCTCGGCCCCGGGCAAGCAGCCGCTCGGAGCGCGGCGGCGTCGTCGTCGTTGGCGTCGTTGTCGTGGTCGTTGAGTTCCTCGCGGTCGTTGCCGTCTTGCCGCAGCTCTGAAGAGCTTGGTATCGTTCGGACGTGTGCACTTTTCCCCGGCGGGGATGATTAAGGAGCATATTTGATCATTTGGCGAAAAAACCACGCACGAAACCGGAAAAACAACAGGAAATGGACGTCCGAGCGATGGGGAGAGAGGAAAGGTACCCACACCGTTGCCCTTGCCTCGCTTTCCTTCTCGTTGTGCTTCTTGGGAGGCCCTCGTCGCCACCGCTAGATTCGCCCTCGAAGTGCTGGTCAGAACGCACCCCAAGAGCGGCAGGGGGAGCAGCGGTATCGGCGCCTTCTGGTTTCCCCAGTCGTGGTCGTTGAGCTCCTCGCTGTCGTCGTCGTCGTCTTGCCGTAGCCGCCGCCGGTCTTCTTCAACGTGGCCGTTGGCGTTGTCGTCGGTGCTGTCGTCGTGGGCGCCGCCGTCGTCGTCGGCGTCGTCGGCGTCGTCGTCGTTTCCACGGCGTCGCCCTTCCCCTCCGCGTATGCAGGATGGGGATGAGGGGAAGGAGAAGGTGGATGGGAAGGAGGAGGCGAATCAGGAGGAGGGTCGGGATCAGAGCGTGAATTACCTACCCCGCTTTCGCTTCCAGGCAAAACCAAGTCATACCACGCGCCTCCTCGTCAAGCGGCCTGACCAGTACAGGCCGTGGTTTGGCATCGCTTGGTATCTCCTGGAAGCGAGGGTGGTCAAAAGCGAGGTAGGTTTGTCTTGCCCCTACGGGAGGAGGAGTGCGCTGGTTCCCGATCGAAGTGCTCGGGCGGACTGCTTGCCAGGAGGAGGAAGGCGGAGAAGGAGGAGGAGGAGGAGGAGGAGGTACAATCTGCAACCCCACTATTAACCAACGATGTTGCAACAAACCACCCCTCCAAGTTCCCCCTTCACAGGTCCCTACAAGGGTTCATGTTCAGTAAAGGAAATGCCCCTGTGGAAGACAGCAGCTTGAACATCCTGAAGCGTGCCAGAGCACCATTCCTGGGAGCTCACCGCCGCGAACCAACGTGACGGCTGTGTCCTGGTGATCCTGAATCGTGTCATAGCATCATTGTTGGGATTTTCACACCGCGAATCAACATAACCGTTGCGCCTTGACACTCTTACACCTTGCCAAAACACCGCGTCTGGGACGTCAATCATACGAATCCTTTTAGCGGTTGCACGCTCGTGAGGCGAATACGCGCGTCGACAAGGCGAGGGCCACATGTTTCAACGGTGTTTCCCTACACCCGTCAAACTGTTGCACACGTTTAAGACGAGTGCGCGCGGCGCTAAGGCGAAGACCACATGTTGAACACCGACCGCCCTCCATACACGAAACTCTTGCAAACTTTACGACGGATGTGCGCGGCGTCAGGGTAAGGGACACATTGTGAAAATGGCCCGCCCTCCATCCGTGAAACTGTTAAGCATCTCAGCTTAAGGATCACTCACGCCGGGCACACCCCACGGACACGCCTCGGGGTTCGACAGGGAGGAGTCATGTTTAAGGCAAAGGGGTGGACGAGGGGGAGGATGGGGGGGAGAAGGAGGAGGGGATAGGAGAGGATGCGAAGGACGTGGATGGGGAGTTGGAAGAGGGGGAAGGATAAGCTAGGTGCGCTGCGCTTGCTCTAAATCTTACATCCTACCCGTCCCGCCCAAGCATTCCCGTTACGCTGAATTCTTCTCTATCCCCGCCTGGGGTGTCCTAGATCAATGTTGACCCCGAAGTGACCCCATCTTGTGCCTTGGAACCAGAAACGGGAGGTTGTGTACATTGGAGGTCGAGGAGATGGCGGATGAGCAGGATGACGAGCAAGATGAAGAGCAGGACTCTGAGGAAGAAGGAGGAGCAGCAGCGGGAACATGAGTAGGAGGGGAACGCGCAGGAGGAAAGTTGAGGGAGCGGCAGCGAGGAGGAACACATTGGATCCAGAATTGTGGTCTTCCCTGGGGCAAGAGCGCTAATCTGAACGACGGGATCAAAGCGCCGATCCTGACATGCGGCCAGTGCTGCAGCGGGAACGCCACGTTCCCAAAACAGTGCTTGCGTTTTGGGTCTCTTGCTTACTTGTCTCCTGAGGAACGGAACCTGGTTGTCGATTCCGCCGCCTTGTGGTGGCCCCGTCGTCGCCTGTCGCCGCTCGTCGCCGCCCCTCGTGCAGGCCTGGCTGCCGGTTCCGCCGCCTCGTGGTGGCCCCGTCGCCGCTTGTCGCCGACGCATTCTGGTCGCAGTTCGGATGGTGCGAGCCTCGCAGATCTCGCCTGTCTCGACAGGAATCTACACCCTACCCCCCCCCCCCCCCCACGGAATTATCGTTCCCCCGTAGCTATCTGGCTCGAGCCATTTTGGCCTGCCCCCCTCGGGCGCCCGCCAGGCAGGCGAGGGGCCAACCCCGCCGCGCCCCGAGACCAGCGCTCACGGCGGCTCCGCGGGAGTGCCTTTGTCGCTCAAACCCTCGTCTGGGTCAAATCGTAGCATGCGCGCGCCCTCGTTTGTCAAACATCAGCAGCTTCCAATACTGCCTCGCAGAACAAGTATGACAAAGTCGACACGCGCGCGTCGTCGCGGTTGCATGCCGGAATTCTCCAACAACCGTAAGTTTTTAAGTTTCCCAGCGTGTTCATGGAGTTCGACCAGGCGGGACTCTCGCGCGCGCGTGTCGGAATCATTCGAACGGTCTTGCGCGTTTGCTGGGGGGACGATCCCTGTCAGATAATATCATGCGGGCCACTCGCGCGCGTCGGCGCCGCGCGCTGGCCCCGCGCGCATGTCGAAATCCTTCCAAAACTTTCATCGCTGATGTGTTGACACCATCAGCGTCATCGGCGTGACAAGGATCGGCGCCGCCATTGGTTTTGCCGTTTTCATCGCCATCATCGTCACCATCATTGCTACCATCATCGTCGTTCCCGCTGTTGTCAACGTCACCCTGATAATGCGCCCGCCCGAGTTGCCGACCCGCATTGAAGTGCCCGTTCGCCAGCCTGGCCCGTGAGACACGCTGGGAAATCCCCATCGGTGAGCGCCACCGTTGCCGCATCGGTTTCGCCAAACTAGTTGGCCGCTTTGCGCGCGAGCATGCGCGCGCCAGCGCGGCCGCCCAGATGTATCAGCCAACGCCAAGCATCCACAATCGCCGCCGCATTGGCTTTGCAAACCAAGTTGCGGGTGGGCGGTTTGGGGGATGATTGCGCGAGCAGTGGAGTTGGCAACCCCAAATTTCTGAACGTGACTAGCACATCAAATATTGCACAACATAGGTTTCCCTTTTCATGCGGAGAGTCGTCTTTATCATCCGCCTGAAACCAGAGTTTGGTACCACCCCGGGGACACTGCAAATTACAAGTGGAGTTGCCTCATAGTTCCTGGCGCATATGAGCGCGATGCATTTCATGAGGTACCTTTATCGGTACTTTCAAATGATGTTGCGAAGGCCTTGCGGCCGGTGCCGCCGAACCTGGAGGATTCGACCCTCGACGGAAATGGGACGGAAAGGGCGGGCCGGGAGGGTGGTATTCTGACCCGGGACCACCCATCTGGACCACCCCCCGAGACCCCCCTAGGGCCACCCCCCTGGCAACCACCCCCTCCCTTCCGCTGGGGCCGCGGGGAAAGGACCAAAGTGAGGGGGCTTCCCTTCGATTCAATGACAACGTTGCTTCACTTGGCTGTGGATGGGCTGGTGTATTTCGCTTTGGCTGGCGTGCTTGAGGACGAGGGCCTAAGGAAAGGGGGGGAACGGCGACGGACTCAGTGGAAGGAGGGGGCGTGATGGCGGCGGCGACGCGACGGCGGCAGCGACGGCGATGGCGGAACAGCCGCTGTCACACGCCGACGGTCGGCGGGTTATGTACGCGCGCCCTTTTATCCAAATCTTACACGGGACGTGCTAAGCCCATTTTGTTCGCGTGGCGGCTACGTAAGTGAACGCGCCGTATTCAAAAGCACATTGGAATAGATGCAGCACCATGGAAGGCGACGCGACAAAAAGGTCGGGCCACGGCGTCGCACGTTTGCGCGCAATACGGCGGGGAGCAAACCTGGATGAGGAGACGTACATGGAGGGCAAGGTACGCGCAAGGGGGTGTCACAGCGCCATGAGGTACATCTGCTCTGTTCGCCCGTGATACCGCAACGGGCGACAGACATTTGTGGAGGGCGGGGCGACAGGGCCACTGAGGACAGCGCCGTGCTTTGCGAGACGCTCCAGTGCTTTGCGCCCTGTGATGCGACAGCACCGCGCTGCATAATGGGGCAGCGCTGCGCGCCGTGTGGGCACGTTCCCTCTCATGCTCGGCAGCCAGTCGCCCGTTGCAGAGATCGCCGACGACGATGCCACATTTGCAGCGGATGCGCATGTTCGCACAGAGCCCGCTTGCGGCGCTCCTCCCCTGGAACCTGTCCCCGCCAAGCGCGTGCGCCATCTTCGTGGGCTGCGTCCTGCAGCTCAGCTGGGCATCCCAGGGGCCCACGAAAAGTGGCGACACTTCAGCGGCTCGCGGCCACCCAGGGGGTCGCGAGGTTTCGGTTTGGTGCGCGTACAACCCAATTCCAATGAACGCCCCAGGGGCCCACGAAAACGGCTGCATTTACACATTTTCCAGCCACCCATGGACTCACGAGGTCCCGTGTGGGCGCGCGTACAGCTCCATTCCAGTGGACCTCCACGGGGCCCACGAATGTGGCGACGGAGCGCAGTTCGCAGCCAGCCAGGGGATCGCGAAGTCCCGCCTGGGTGCGCGTACGCTTCCACTCCGCCGGACCTCCCAATAGCCCACGACCTTGGCGACAGTTGCGCAGTTCGCAGCGACCCAAGGGGGCGCGAGGCCCCGCGACCAGATAAGCGTGCAACCTTTTCGGGGGCCTGCGAAAACGGCGACTGTTGCGCAGCTCGCAGCCAGCCGCCATGC